CAAAAAACCCCAAAATGGCAGCTCAAGAAGTAGATCACGCGTGTCCTGACCTTCTTATATAGACCTTGCAACAGTCGAAAGCACGGCCATTTTGGAACCATACGTAACATTAACCCTTATTTCTTTTACTACGATTACTAAAATTGAAGTTCATAATTTAAGAATTAAATTATAGTGGTAGAAAATAATATAAAAGTACTTATATTATTTATACTCGTACAATTTCAAAACTATTTTCTGTAAAAATTTGTTTTTGACTTAACGGATATTTTGATACTATTGACGACAAAAGTTTAAAATAATTGATTTCCTTACCTGTCCATTATTTTTGTTCGACGGAGTTGAATTGTTTTGTCCACGTGGCATGAAAAATTTTGTCAAGGTCCTGATGAGAATGTGCAGACAACTGAACGCATGAAAGAAGACCACTGAGTCAAGACCGTTTACATGTGCAACTATCTATGTTGCTGACGTCGACGGACACACACCATTTCTATGTTGTGATTGGATAATTTAAATTAGCAAACAGTGACACTAGTGAGACATTATTAAACTAATTTTTCTTAATTTTTTGTTAAGGCGTGAAATATTATTTTGTACTGTAAATGGTACTTGAAATATTATAATGTACTGAAAATGTACTAAAAATCTAAATGTAGTTTCAATTTACCGGAAAGGGCAAAATGTATAAAAAAAAGTACAAATGTACTAGGAACGGCAACACTGCTACACTGTCCACAGAATTCGATACTGAAAAGAGTCCATCTGGCTGTTTTCCGCAGTAAACCTCTAAATTACGCGTATAAAACGTTTTACTGTCCACCAGCAAGAATGTTTTTATACCGTATTTATTCGGTTAACTTGGTATATACTGGCAGAATCCGCACCGCCTTCTAAACCCTTCCGGTTTCTCATCTATGGTACATTATTCTGGTACATTATAATTTTTTAAACAATTATTCGTAAATACATCTAAAAAAGTTCGGACTGCTGCTAATTTATCAAACATTAGTCTTTCACCTCGCGTTTGTTTATCAAATCGAAGATTTGGTAACAAGAAGCAGAAACATCTCTGCGACGTGGCCGTTCTTGAGATTTCGATTCCTGTACCTTCCATTGTCCACATTTCGTTCACGTGACAGCGATTAACCTTTTTATACGCAGCGAGGTACGATAAACCGATTAGAGATTCTATTTCCTGCAGATCTGTTGTACTTGCTTCACGTTCTCTTCCGTAATGCGATTGCACTTTTTCTATTTGTTGGTTCGTATATATGACTATGATATCTAAAATGTCATCTGTTACGAAGAGATTCCAACATTCAAGAATAGATTTCGCGTTTGTGGCTTCTCCAAAAGGACCAGGCTTAAGATAAATCAAAGTTCTGTCTTCTTATCTCTGTTGCAGGATATTCCCACATACTGTATCTGGTCCCATCGCGAGCTAGGAAAGAACAATGCTCACCGATTCGTGATGGCGAGGCTACAACTTGAGACGACGAGTCAACTGTAAGTGTGCAAACTTCTAATATATCTTTGTCTTCCTCGTGCTCGGTATCTGTGTTCTCTAATCTATCTTCTACAAAGTCACATTCTTCTTCCGAAGAAACATCTTTATATACTATATTCTCGATCTCTGAATCAATAAAAAATTCTTCGTACATCTTTACTTTACTTTACAAGGCACTCAATTATATTCTGTTAGGCGAAGCTTGAAATCAAAAAGCAAGATAAGATTAGAACATTTATTAACTTGCATCCGATTGGATCTTACACAAAAGACATTTGCTATCGAAAACAATTGACGAAAAAAGTATACATTTATCAGACAATAGACAAAGATTCAGTTTGTAAACAATTTACCTTTTCTATATACAACTGACACTCGATCCAGAGCGGTCTTTCAATGACCGGACATAAAACAATGAACAGATGACGCTTAAGTGAAGCGCATTTACAAAACAAATATGATTAATCTTAACGACATAAAATAAGACAATATAGTTTGTCCAAAAAAATTTATTGCTAGACAGTTTTGAGAATATGCTTACTAGCCTATACATTGTCAAACAACATTTAATTAACAATTTATAGCTCAAAACGCGAGTAAAACAAGCGAATTTATAGCGATTGTTTACATCCGATTTCAAAGATCATTGCCGAAAGGGAGGAAAGATATTTCCCGGCAATTTATAGCTAGACTGTTTTTACAATTTGCCAATTCATTAGTAAATGTAAAAAAAACGCCAACTTGCATCGCCTAATATACGAGGAATCATCATAAGTAATAAAAAAATTATATGATGAAAATAAAGTAATTATTAAAATAATTGAAAATTAATTAGACATAATTTTGAAAACAATATTATAACAAAAAAAACAAAAATCTAAATATATGAATAAATAACGATATTATAAGGTTTAATAGACACCGCGCGACAACATCAACGCGATAAAGTTATTGCGACATTCGCTATCGACAATGGTGACGAATTAGTTGATGTTTTTTAACAGCATGTTAATCCGGTGAAAAAATTTGAGGAATATTAATTTTTTAAAATTTTTCAAAAAATATTTAATATTAAAAAATGTTTACTAAAGTTCGCGCCGGATCTGTCAGACCCATGTGACTCACAGACTGTTAATTTCAATTTTTTACGCATCAACACACAATAAACTGTAAAGATTGAGACACCTTTTTTACAAATGAAAAGCCGATCAAGTGAGTCAGATTGTTTCTTACATTTTCGTTGGTTAATAGAGAAAATATACTGAGCCGGTAGTGTGTTATATAGTAGGTACAATTGTCTACGCGATGTAAATACATTAGTTTCACTTATACGAGCTATTCTTTGAATATATAGAGCAAACCACACTCATAAAATTTCAGTACAAAATAGCCAAAATTACTTGTTTAATTAATATTATACAAGAAGTTTTATGTTTTATTGCATGATTTATTTTAAAACAAATGTACTGTATATTTAACTCGGGAGATAATAACGGATATCACACAATATAGATTTCATTGAACATGTGCATAATTTATTCTAAACCACTGCAAAATTAAATCTGTGTACATTCACACTTAAAATCTTCGTAAATGAATAACATAAATTAGCATACAAACTTAAAAACATACAGACTGATAGAGCTAACAATTAAATTTATTTTTCCGGCTTCATAATATTTATACAAAGAATTTACAAATAGTAATTTTAAAAAATGAATAAACAAACAATTCGATCATGTGATCAGTGTAAAAGCTTCATTCCATATTAAACTATTACTCGATATTTCTAGAAGTATTGAATTCAAAATGATTACACTGTGGTGAATAAAATAGGTGTACTACTCTCATGTTTTACCATTTAAACGAATACAGTTGTAGTAGTTCTAGTAGCACAATACAACTACTACAAACTTATGCTTCTACCTTTGTAATAATAATAGTTAATAATGACAGATTTCCATTGTTGTTTTATAACATTTAATTAAGAGTAATCACTAGACAATACTTAACCAAAAAGGGAACTCACAACTTTAAGTAATTAAACTCGCTAGTACAAATTTACTGAAGTAATTTTTTTAGAATTTCAAGTGCTAACAGTAGTATTGTTAGAATGTAGAAGTAAAAGAGGAGTTTCAACTTTGCAGGATCGACGTTCTTTAAAGTAAACATCTCGAATTTGTAGTAGCATGTTAAATACGCTATACAAAGCTTTATATGTCTGTAAAATATAGAAATATTTTGCATATTTTAAATAATATATACTACACATTTAAATATTTTTATATAATTCTAAGTAATTAAATATAAACCAATTTAATCATGTTATAAAGTCTGTTGCTCTATTCACGATACAATTACAAGATAAAAATAGAAAGCAAATAATATATAAAGCTGACTTCAGCTTACTCGTTAGTTCACAATGACCGAATTCGCTGGCGAAAGCAAAAAACAAAGCGAATACCACGTCAGACATGACGTCGTTTGAGGTGAATTTTACCATATTCTGAATCGGTTCAATGTTTGTAACGTAGTTCTTATTGTTTGCAAAATGTGTATATAATTATCTTACAAAATTAGTAATTAACGATTTTTCATTCATATTCTTTCTACCCAGCATATTTTTTACGTATATTTTCGTATCCACAAATAAATGAACATGGTCAACAGCAAAATGTTAATAGCAACCATTTTGTTTTCAAAATGACAATTTTTTGTTTGTAAATGATTGGCTGCTTAAAATTTGCAATTGCTTTTTCGCTTTTCTCGTTCGATTTAGCTATTCTGTCAGAGTGAACAGAACTTATGTAAATCATAACATTATAATTACATAACTTCTAATTGTATTTTTCGCATATATAAACGTTGTTACACAAACGTATAGGGTGTAGAATATGAGATAAAATACCTGTACAGGAGTTTGTTTTGAAAATACAAAACAATCGCCACAACTAAGTCCAATATTCTTCCTTTGAAATTTCTTCATGAAGTTCAACATCTGCAACAAATATTATTTTATAAATAAACATAAAAAATTGTTTTATAAAATTTGAAATATTCTTTTCTTCGCGGGAATTCTTTCATACTTTAAGTTTAGTTTCAAGTGGTAAAATAGCAGCTCCCAACTTTCTTATTTCTTGAAACGAGTCATAAGCCTACGTAAGTATAAATACATATCATAAGACAAAGTAAATAAATAGATTATTTTACAGTATTTATTTGTACTTACTGACGCACAGAGTCGAGCAACAGCGAAAGAACCAATAATGCCGAGAGTAATGCTAATTATGGTAAAAATACAAATTGAAATATACACATACATATGAAATGATAAACCCCCAAAAATAGTGTTGTAAATGAGAAGAGACATATAAAACAAAATTATTCCGTATTCAATAAATATATATTCATTCCATTTGTCATTTATCTGTTGGAGGAAATTGCATAATTCCACGTGCTTACAAATAATTTAGTTAATATTTCTTTCCAGTCGTATCGACTTGGCTTGTAATAAGACAGACAAAGCATCAAATCTCTTTTTAACCGCTATTCCAATTATCAGAGCAACGGACAGAAACCATATGCATACAGACNTTGTTTTGAAAATACAAAACAATGGCCACAACTAAGTCCAATATTCTGTCTTTGAAATTTCTTCATGAAGTTCAACATCTGCAACAAATATTATTTTGTAAATAAACATAAAAATTTGTCATATAAAACTTGAAATATTCTTTTCTTCGCAGGAATTTTTTCATACTTTAAGTTTAGTTTCAAGTGGTAAAATAGCAGCTCCCAACTTTCTTATTTCTTGAAACGAGTCATAAGCCTACGTAAGTATAAATACATATCATAAGACAAAGTAAATAAATAGATTATTTTATAATATTTATTTGTACTTACTGATGCACAAAGTCGAGCAACGGCAAAAGAACCAATAATGCCGAGAGTAATGCCAATTATGGTATAAATACAAATGGAAATATACATATACATATGAAATGATAAACCCCCAAAGATAGTGTTGTAAATGAGAAGTGACATACAAAACAAAATTATTCCGTATCCAATAAATATGAATTCATTCCATTTGTCATTTATCTGTTGAAGGAAATCGCATAGTTCCAAGTGCTTAAAAATGATTTCGTTAATATTTCTTTCGAGCCGTATTGAATTGGCTTGTTGTAATTGGAGAGACAAAGCATCAAATCTCTTTTTAACTGCTATTCCAATTATCAGAGCAACGGTTAGAAACCATATCCATACAGACAATTCGAATACAGTGTATATTATATTGTATACAACGCAGAGGAAAGCCCTGGTATAGCTTGATCGATTTTCGAAACGTCGGATAATTAATGAGCTGTTAAAAACAGCTATACCAAATACAATACAATAGAAATATATAATGTGAAAAAACATTAACAGCTGATATTTTTCCATTTTTTGTTTTTCTCCATAATAACTTGATGTTTTAAGTTCCATCGCGATTTTCTTTCGTCTTCCATATTGAATTGTTAAACTACAAATCAACGACGCGCATGCAAATATGCCTTTCATAAACATCGTATTATCTCTACTCTTACCAGTTACTTCTAAAGGACTGCAGGCAATGACATTGTCTTCGGTTGAAAGAGCGTGAATGCAGGTTAGCAGAAAATGACCGAAAATAATGGCTTGAACTAATTTTGCATATACAGACATGATTCTAGATTGCTTCGCAGTTAGTCGATGACATTTACAGCGCTCGAAGACGATATCTCCAAACAGAAGGGATATGTTACACGATGGATAAAGTATGCAGTAGAAGCAGTCTTCTTCCATTCTTTAAATTAATATAAATTCGTTATAATATATTAGTGGCGTCAAAAATATTAATGTAAATCAAAATAAACACTTTTAACCGAAAAATTATCTTTTTTTAAGAAGTGATATACAGTAAAATTTAAATTATTTAAACGAATTGGATTCTCGTTTAGCTCTGATGTGCAGAACATCAAAATAACTGAATGTTGTTTTCTAAAATTATCATTTTTATAATCCACTATTGTAATTGTGTATATTATTATATGCAAATTAAATATCAAATGTAAAACATACCTACAGATAAATAAAGTTTTTTTTTTTTTANAATTGAGTATATTATTACATGCAAATTAAATATCAAATGTAAAACATACCTACAAATAAATAAAGTTTTTTTTTATTTTACATTTAGAAGTATGTTATATATAATATAATCTGGTATAACCTTGCAATACATATACAAGTCTATTTATATTTAACAACATGCAAGAAAATCAGAATATTCAGCATCTGCCTTGTCGGAATAAAATTGTCCAACATACGATTTCCCGCGCTTTTCTGTCTTTTCAAACGAACGACGGTTGTCAGCATGGGAAGGCCAATCTGGCGACTTTGGAAATTCGACCGCGGATTGGCTGGAAAACATCGTATGACCAGCGGACGTCTTGTAGCGCTACTAAGCGCTGATTGGTGGAATTTCATTATTCTCAATCGGTATAAAAGGATTGAGTTTAGGCGGGAAGTTTAGTTCGCCTAGGACACATCACATGAACTCACGTTCATCTAGCCTCGCCTAAGCTGGCCTAGAGGATTGTTTCGTCTCGCTGTGCGGTAAGTAACGTTGGAAGGAGTTCGTCGCAAGGTGTCCTTTTCGACGGACATGTTGTCGTAGATTAAAAGTATTTGGACTTTGTTACTACTGACGTATTGTAATTGTTGTTTGTGAACTTTTGTAACTGTATGTACGTTTGTGAACTTTTGTAGCTGTATGTATGAACGTTTTTGTGGAAATTCAGTAAGGTCTTGTGTATCGTTGTAAATTGCCTCTTTCATTTCGTTGTATTTTTCACTTAAAAACTTATTTGATCTCTTATTTTTTTAAAGCGGTATTAAACTTTATGGTTCTATTATGCAAATAATTAATACCCAACCATATTTTGAAAAACATAAAATATGTATAAATATAACATTCGATAATGTTTTTTTCAAAAACATCGTTTGAACTGATAGGAATATCACAATATACAGTGTATGTTAGTGTGTAACTGTATCGGTTAGGGCCGTCTATAAATTACGTAAGGTAATTTTGGTGTGGGTAGAATAGAAAATTTCTTACAATTACTTACTCAGGGGTAGGGAGGTAATAGATCATGTCTTACGTAATATTTTTATTTTTATTTTTTGATCTCTTTGAGTGGTGGCGTTTTGATTTTGGCTTCAATGTAGCGGTTTCTATTAATTACGAACTCTCGTTGTCTCGTGTGACGTGATAGCGTAATAACGGCCGCGTTTCTTTATGGAGCGCTCGAGAAGCACTTTACAGCGAACGCACTAAAACTGGTTTCTAATTGGGAAACACTGCTCATGACGTCATTTCGATACACTCTTGCTGCATAAAGAAACACGGGGAACGCTAGCAGATTTTCGCTCTAGACATTTTTTTCATGGGAGAAAAGCCGTGTGGTGGTTTCTCTCTTGTTTTTTTATTAGAATAAGTGCACAACTCTTATGGGTGTATAACATTAAGAATACATAAACCAAAATACACGATACAAAGTAAATATAAAATTAGTATTCGGTTTTTAGTGAAAACTAAAATGTAAAACTAGATATTAGAAATTATAAATAGTCTTTACTTCCATGTTTTTTGAACATAATTGTAAAAAGCATCTAACAGTGGCTTCTGAACAAGCTTGTCCAGTGTATATAACGAGTTGAACCCGAGCGTAATGATTTTTAATTTCAGAATAATTGTATGTTGATCGTAAATTGGACAGGGGTCGATAGTGTCTAGGTTTTCTGTAGAGCAAAAGCACGGTCAGTTTCTTCCCGGTTATAAATTGCCAGGTAACTTCTAAAATTACCATGCTCAGTAAGTAGTTGAGCAGTAGGATACATTGAATCTTTAAGTAGTGATGAGAACTTACATTCAACACTAGGAAAAGAAAGTCTTGTTACTCTACCAGTTTTACTGCTAAACTACTTTTACTGATTCCACTTTTTGATAGCGATGTCGTAGATATAATTTTTAAGGATGCCACGTGAGAGAGATTCGAACTGCCTCTGGAATTTATTAATATTTTAATTAAAAAGTTGACGAAAAAAGAATATCAAATTAGTATTTTAAAACGTTAATTTATTTACTTTTCTTTATTGCTTTATATGTCTGAAGTATTACTTAACTTCGACTACGTGAAAATGTGCAGCGAATGCTGATTCTGCATTTCATTTTAAATTTATCTTTAATCTTGTGAATTTATAGTCTTATTTTTATATTCTTGTTTATAATATAATTATAATATTAATTAAATAATAAAATATAAACTTTTTTTGTCTTNAAAATATTCTCTGATTTCGGTGAAAAAATTGTTTTATGAAACAAAGGAAACGAATAAAACTCACTGTCTTTAACGAAAGATCGACATCCTTTTGTTTTCCCTCTATCACTTAAAAATCTTAGTCACCCTGGAAATTGTCAACCCCTCGATAAATTCTCTTTTCTCTTGTTCACGTGGGAAAATACGACATGCTGATTGAAGAACAATCATAAGAAAGAGAAAGAATTTTGCATTATTCGGGGAGTACGCCGAAAGATCAAGAAGAAGACAGACGTATTCCATATAATCTCCCGAAGGTTAAAGCACAGAATAGAATACAGAAGGGTCTACAAAATAAGATTAATCAGTAAATAGCGAAGAAAATACTTAAATATGTGCCACTCAAGACTTATCCAAGAAACAACTGAAGTATAAATCTAAAAGACAAAAGAAGATAAAGTTAGACCGAGGTAGAATGATTTATAACAGAAATTGTGAGCTCTCTCTCTCGAAAGCTTGATTTAAATTTTCCATTTGTATAATTTTGTTATTTTGTTTAATTAAACATTTGTTTTATTTGCTAAAGAAATGTCTCTCGAGTTTTTGAATCAAAACGAACGGTTCATCTCCATATTATTTCCACACGCGTGTTAATCCGCGTATCCGTAAATTGATTAACTGGTGTAGTTATCCTGATGTGGATCTCGACTTTCCAGTCCAGATCTTTTCAAAATTTATCAACAGCTCTCCTAGGAAGAGTTTAGTCAGCCAATCTTGCGATTGCGTGCCCATAAATGATATAGGTAGCACACCACGCTTGTTTCTTACACGAGTGTATCCAAATCATTGTCCTTTGCAGCTGACTCAGCCTAAAAGTAGGCTTTTTCATTTCCTAGTATGCCAGTATGGCTAGGAAAAATATAGAAGTTATCTTATTTACATGATTTTTAATATGGTGCTAGATATATGCGATTTTATTGCTATTGCATTTGGGATTTAAATAAATAAAGCTTTTAGGACAGACTGAGAATCACTGTAAGTGTTGATAGACATAGTTTTGTTTGGTAGTGAAGTGGCCCACTGAACAGCTTGGTAGTCAGCATCATCTTCAGCTTGATAGAGGTATGTGGGAGGTATCTGTAACTTCTAACATATTTTTGGCAAAAAATGACAGTTTGGAGGAAGATACAAATACTTGAGCCGACAAAACGGGAGCTTTTAGACCCATCTGTGTTAATATTAATGTCTGCATGATTATCCATGGAGGAAGCAGATGACACCAAATAACATTTTTAAAGTAAGATGATCAGAGATAGTAGGGTAATTGCAATGTGGTAGCATTTCAACAGCCGTAGATAAAGGTAGAGACCGTTGTTGAGCCTTGACGATTTTATTTCTGATGTAGTAGTTTAGAACCTTTTCTACAATACATAGTGGCAAAGTAAGGAGCTCTGCTAGTATCACAGATGCATTAATAAAAACAGTTCTGCAGCACTTTGAAATTTTGATGGCAAACTGGCCTTGAAGAGAGAGTAAATTACTTGCTACTGAATTTTAACTGGTTACATGACCACAGCCAGAGGCCGCGTAATGTCGCATTGCTGGTATTGCCCCATTGTAGAAAGTTTTATAAGCTTTATGATTTAGTTTCCAGGTGAACCTAGCACATTTTAGCAACATGCAGTTACTCAAGAAACGTAAATTGTACAACTAACGCAATTCGCATAATTAATTTCGATAATTTTTGTCGCTGTTATTTTTCGCGTGCATCAACGCGATTACTCGAAAAGTATAGTTAGACTTCGCTAAGTGCAATAATAAATTGCAATATCTCGCTTCCAAATCATGCTAGAATCAATCTTACTCTTGGAATAAACAACATTATTAAGAGAAAAGAATTGATAGCGAAAAAGATAATCGCATTGGTCGCGATCTACAATAGCGATTATTCATAAATATTTACTAAATTTTTACCACCCAAAATCTCACTCGGAGTCTGTGAGAAACCAGATCTTTTTCAATTTTTTTTTGTGTACACTTGCCGCACAATAATAGCGTTGTGTATTTTTTTTCGCATTTCGAAAAAATTAAAAAAATTTTGAAATTTTTGAAACATTTTGACAAAAATGCTGCTAAAAAATGTTACCAGGCATCTCACACATACCTGGTGATCGAGTAAGAGATATTATTATTATTATTAAGTAAACTTTATCTCTTAAACTTTGAACTCGACGACTAAATAATTACTGGGGTGTAAGCTTTAATTAAGTACGAGATAGTAGTAGTAGTGGTTTGTGTAGCTTTAATCACAAAAATAATTTTTTGAGTAAATTACTATCGAATAAATTAAAATTGCAAATAAAAATTTGTTTAATGCAATCATTTCAGATCACAAAATTAATATTATTTTAACAATAAGGCTGTATTAATTATTAAATGTTTTTATAAATTTGAATTAAATTAATTTTAT